AGTCTATGCTTCATTAGTGATTGTTCAGACCACATTATGACCTCATAAAAGGGCATACTAAAGGGCTGTCATAATAAAAAAATCTCAAACAGAGAGGGAAAATTAAGAGAACAACATGGCACGGCTAATTATATTCTCAAGGATAATAGTTTTTCTTATGCTTTGGGAAGGGCATAAAATGTTTATAAAAGTGTTTAAATGAATTGTTTACAGACTAGACATTTTGGAGTTGTGCAAAAATGTATGACTAAACATTCTTTTTCTTTGCAAATTACATTAGCCAAATGTTACAAAATATCAATTCTAAAATATTTCTGGATTAACAATTGTTCAAACAGAGTTGTAATTATTGCATGTATATAAATTTTGAAAGTTTGATATACGCAGGTGTGTACTTGACACCTGAGAGAAGCTTACTGTCTATAAATAGCTAATAAAATAAAATGCTTGTGCTTAGAACTTACAAATAAAAAAAGGAAAGCTATATCATTAAGTAACACTAGTAAAATAACTGTTTTAGAGCTTATAAATAAACGAGGAAAGTGCCATTCAGTGACACAAGAAGACACTTTTGGACAGAATTTAGGAACTAACCAATGTTTTGAGTAAGGTTCATTTTATATATCTATATAATTGCAACAACTCATTATTCTAAATTAAAAACAAAACCTCTGTTACTTGCATTAACATTATGCTGAATACACAAGCCTGCAATGGTTATATTGTGTTGAAATTTTTACATGTTCTACAGTAATTCCTGTATGCTGAATCCAAAAATGATATCCAGTTTTCTCCATCACATACAGAATTTTCACAAAACATTATAGATACTTTTACACAAGTGAATCATTTTCATTGAAATAGGGTCACATTTTGTAATCCTTAAAATACTGACAACCACTGGCTATAGACACGAGTCTTATCTATTTTTCTAGAACCCATGAGAAACACACTATTAGTATATATACTGTTAACAGGCCACACAACATGTCATTTCTGGAAAGTATTTGTTTAAACATGCAGTTTGGCATTATATTTTTCTTTTCAATATTATTCATTCATTGCTATGGAAATAAGAAGTTGTGTAAATGACCCAAACATATTCTGTTATATTTGTGGTAAATTTGTTGTAAAGAAACAAAGTCAAAATATTATAGAATTTGTCAAAAAGCATTGGGAACCAAGACAAATCCTGGGCTCCACACAAAGTTTGCACCATTTGTGTCGAAGAGTCGAAAAAATGGACTAAAGGTAAGAAAAAGTCTTTGTCTCTTAGAATTCCAATGGTCTGGCATAGCCTAGAAACCATGGAGATGACTACTATTTTTGCTCATGTAACATGCAAGGCTACAACACTCAAAACAGAAAGGAAATTTCTTATCCAAACCTTCAATCTGCTATAAGACCTGCTGCTCATGGGCCTGATGTATCTGTTACTACTCCACCGGAGACTCTTGATACAGTTTCATTTTATTCTGATTTCAATAGAAATGATAATGAGGATTATTTTCAACCTGAAACGTCTGGTTAACCACAACCTTGCACACAAGGTGAACTTAATGATTTGGCGTAGAGATTTGGGCCTTTTAAAGGATTCTTCAGAGATTTTGGGGTCCAGACTTCAGGCTAAGAATTTACTTTCTCCAGAAACATCATTTTACTGGTACAATAATTGTGAGAAAAAGTTTAAACCATACTTTTCGTAAGATGGTTCACTGGTTTCTTGCAACAACATTGCTGAACTAATACCAATGCTAGGAGCCACAGTCTATGAACCAAGTGTTTGGCAATTGTTCATCGATTCCTTCAAAAGAAGTCTAACAGATATTCTCCTTAATAATGGTAACATATATGCATCTGTTCCTATTACTCATATGTATGAAAATCTTGAACTTCTTAATAAGGTCAAATACAAAGAACATGGTTGGCTATATTGTGGAGACTTGAAAGTTCTTTGTATGTTGTTGGGTCAACAATCTGGTTATACAAAGTATCCATGTTTTTTGTGTGAATGGGACAGCAGAGTATGAAATCAGCATTGAATAAAGAAGCAATGACCATGCAGAGTCAGCCTTATACCAGGATCGAAAAACATTGAACGTGAAAGTTTGGTTGACACTAAAAAAGTCCTATTACCTCCACTTCACTGGGCTTGATTAAGTACTTTGTAAAGGCCTTAGACAATGATGGCAAAAGTTTAAAATATCTGTGTAGGCAATCCCTAGCTCTTTCAGAAGCGAAACTTACAGAAGAGATTTTTGTTGGGCTTCAAATTAGGAAATTGACTTGGAATGAATAGTTCGAAAGGACAATGAGGAAAGTTGAAAAAGAAGTATGGATTGCCTTTAAAGATGTTATTGACAAATTTTTAGGAAACAACAAGGGCAAAAATATTGTCAATAACATGCTAGATAAATTCAAAGAGTCGGGTTGTAATATGAGCTTGAAAGTTCATTTCTTATACTCACATATTGGCTATTTCCCTGAAAATCTTGGTGTCATCAGTGAAGAACAAGGGGAAAGGTTTCATCAAGACATCAGGGAAATGGAGAGGAGGTATCAGGGAAGGTGGAACATCAGCATGATGGCTGATTACTGCTGGTCATTGAAACGAGGTGGTCCAGATGCAATACATAAAAGAAAGACCACAACACATAGTTTTGAGACTAAAAGACGTAGATTTCACAAAAACATCAGGATGAATGAGGATGAATATTCGTTTGACAT